TTATTTGCTGAACAGGATTGGGGGAAGAGGAAACAGTTCAAAATGACAGTTTTAAACTGTCCTTGAGGAATCATGAAACAGTTTCTAGGCAACTATGGGGTTTAAGGGGTCTCTGCTTCCAGATCAGAGTCCCAACCCATCTCATGCTATAAATGAAGCCTTGCTCACTTTTAGAAATGGTCTTCAAGTTGATATGTTGAAGCTTAGCCTTATTGGTTAGTGCTGAAATCTTGATTCTATTCTATTTTGATAACAACCAGGTTCCTTTGAAGGCCTCGTGGTGGAGGGTTATTGGTGACGTGCTTCCTCTGCCCTGGACTTCTTGTCTGTCTCTCAAGCAGAGTACAGTGGTACCTTGGGTTACATACTTAATTCGTTCCGGAGGTCCCTTCTTAACCTGAAACTGTTCTTAACCTGAAGCACCACTTTAGCACCACTTTAGGGGGTTGGACTCGATGGCCCTTGTGGTCTATTCCAACTCTATGATTCTGTGATTCTAATGGGGCCTCCCGCTGCTGCCGCACTGCCGGAGCACGATTTCTGTTCTCACCCTGAAGCAAAGTTCTTAACCCGAGGTAATATTTCTGGGTTAGTGGAGTCTGTAACCTGAAGCGTAAGTAACCTGAAGCATCTGTAACCCGATGTACCACTGTAACTCTGAAAGGAATGGAGAAGTCCCTGACATTTAGCAGACATAAATCTCTCTTAATTTTTTAACATAAAAATTGAATGATTATCAGTACGTTGAATATTTAATGTGGAAGTCAAATGTGGGCACCACAGTTCAAGAAGGACACTGACAAACTGGAACGTGTCCAGAGGAGGGCAACCAAAATGGTCAAAGGCCTGGAAACGATGCCTTATGAGGAACAGCTAAGGGAGCCGGGCATGTTTAGCCTGGAGAAGAGGAGGTTAAGGGGTGATATGATAGCCATGTTCAAATATATAAAAGGATGTCACATAGAGGAGGGAGAAAGGTTGTTTTCTGCTGCTCCAGAGAAGCGGACACGGAGCAATGGATCCAAACTACAAGAAAGAAGATTCCACCTAAACATTAGGAAGAACTTCCTGACAGTAAGAGCTGTTTGACAGTGGAATTTGCTGCCAAGGAGTGTGGTGGAGTCTCCTTCTTTGGAGGTCTTTAAGCAGAGGCTTGACAACCATATGTCAGGAGTGCTCTGATGGTGTTTCCTGCTTGGCAGGGGGTTGGACTCGATGGCCCTTGTGGTCTCTTCCAACTCTAGGATTCTATGATTCTATGAAAGCTACTGGCTCTAAATTGTTGCACATAAGATCATGGTTCTGCAGCCTGAAACTTGTGGGATGGGCTGCCAGATCTTAATTTTTTTTAATACACACCTGTACTGAACACCCAGGAAAACTGGAAAATTTTGGGTGGGGAAAGTTTTTTCTAAATAGAAAAACTGGAAATTTGGGGAAAATACAAAACCAGAACCTCTTTATGTGGTACTTGGTCTTTTAGAGTGAGTGACTTATGTATTTTATTAGAGTAGTGGCTTAAAATAATCCTGCTACAAAACTTGAAAACATGGTTTCAAGTTTGCTTCTTTTGAACGCAGCTTGTCAATTCAGATGAAATAAACAGGCAGAAAACTCACATCTGAAATGGCAATGTCCAGAAACCAGCAGGAAAATATTTCAGCCTGCCGGGTCACTCTGAAAAAAAGGAGCTTTGAAGGGAGACTCCGGCATGAAACTGCTGAATTGCCTTTTGAACAGAAACTCAATTCTAGCACCTGCAACTTGAAATGACAAGATTTTTTATTATCCTTCATGTGTTAATTAGCTTACCAATGCCAGGATGTGTGTCTTAACACCAACGCAGCCTTGTTAATCATTGCTGTAACTTGCTTTTACATAATTATTATTTTCTGTCCTCTTTGTTTTCTTCTGACATCAACTCCATTTCTTCCTCCCCCCGTATTCATGCAAACACTGTGTTTGCATCTATGCCTGCCAATTTATTGCAGTCTGCAGATGAGGACTAGGCCATGTGAAAAATAAATGTGAGATTTTAGCTGCAGTTCATTCATTATCAGCTTTGTATTTTTGCAGGGGTGAAACTGGGCTTTCTTTCACCCTGACACACACCTGTGCAGACACACCCACCCCTCAACACATTTGTTCTTAAAGGTGCATATTGCATAAAAAGTAGGCAATATATTGTTTGACATCATGTCTGTTATGGCATGGGCAGCTTCCAGAGGCTTCAGCTGAACTCAAGATTTGCACTCTAAGGTTTAGAAATATTAAGAAAAACGTTTGCCATAAATTTTGAAGCTTAAAAGTTCCCCCATGTTTAACTTGTCTTTAAAAGTAACACCCTGACCTCCACAGCCTAAAACACGGCAAATTCTGAGAAAGGAGGGGGAAAAGGGTGTGCTAATGTTTGTTGTTTGAAAGAGGCTGGGGAAAAGTTAGTGTCTCCAAATAATAAAAAAGTAAGTGTGTGTGTGTGTGTGTGTGTGTGTGTGTGTAGATCTCCTCAGAGAGTAATAGTTCATTTGAGGAATCCTAAGAACTATTATGACTGTATGACCAAAGAGAAAATGACCATCCCTTCCAATAAAAGTAAATTGTTTGTCAAAAGTAGAGCTTCCTTGTACAGCAATTGTCTATCTGAGGTTGGGTTTTGACTTGGATTTATTTAGTCAAAGGATCATTAAAAGGCTGTATTTCCATAAGATCAACCAAGACCTTCTGGTTCCCATTTAAAATGTTTTGGGGTTGTTGCTTTTTTGGGTTTTTTTGTGTCTTTGAGGATTCCTTTTAATTTTATTTTTGTTTGATTAGTCATTTCAGGAGATGATGCTTTCCTACGTATTAAAAAATAAAGTGTTTTTTTTATAAAAAAAACACATTTAAAGGAAGCCACCTCTCCCATTCTTATTTCAGACATCGTGATATATTGGTATATCACAATGTTTAGCTGGTGATATATTGCGGTGTTGAAAACCAGATATCACCCAGCCCTAGTTGGCACTTTGCAAAATAAACTGGAAACATCAGCAAACTATTAATAAAACAAAGCCCTGGTCTTGGAACCGAGGGAGACCCCTTGCATGTGGGAGGCACCTTCATTCTCATGATAGTGTAAGGAGCTCCAACCTGAACCCAAAGATGTGCCCCAGTTACACAGAAGCTTCTGCAGGCAAAGGCAGGAGGACGGCTGCTATGGAATTTCCCTGCCCAATTGTTGTTGTTGTTTAGTCGTTTAGTCGTGTCCGCCTCTTCGTGACCCCCTGGACCAGAGCACGCCAGGCACTCCTGTCTTCCACTGCCTCCCGCAGTTGGGTCAAACTCATGTTGGTAGCTTTGAGAACACTGTCCCACCATCTCGTCCTCTGTCGTCCCCTTCTCCTTGTGCCCTCCATCTTTCCCAACATCAGGGTCTTTTCCAGGGAGTCTTCTCTTCTCATGAGGTGGCCAAAGTCTTGGAGCCTCAGCTTCAAGATCTGTCCTTCCAGTGAGCACTCAGGGCTGATTTCCTTCAGAATCTTTGATCTTCTTGCAGTCCATGGGACTCTCAAGAGTCTCCTCCAGCACCAGAATTCAAAAGCATCCGTTCTTCGGCGATCAGCCTTCTTTATGGTCCAGCTCTCACTTCCATACATCACTACTGGGAAAACCAGAGCTTTAACTATACGGAACTTTGTCGGCAAGGTGATGTCTCCCTGCCCAATAGCAATAGTTTAATAGTGCCAGCATGCCTTTAATAGCACTGACCAGTGCTTCTTTACTTCTGCTTGCAATTCTTTGGATCCAACTCGTTACCTTTAGTCATTAATACGCATCTAATGTCATTGTTACTTAACTGAAACAGGAGTTGAATGTTCCTATTCATAAACAAGGACTTTAAGTGGAATAATTTTTGTTAAGATATTACATTGCTGATAGTGGTTAAAGGTTTTGACCATCACAGCAGTTACTAGGCATAAAAGTAATTGTTGCTACATTTTATGCACCTGTTGGTACTAGGATACTAAATGTGGTAAACATTTATGGAGAGCAGTCAAGCACTCTGGCTGAGAAGCACTGGTAGAATAACTACTTTGGGAGTGGCTGTCCACTTGGCTACATAGATGGTTAACTGTTCACATCCTGGACAAGTTGCTGGAAAATGTGACCATCTATATTTCCTTGTGTTTTCACCTGATGAATTGCATTTCTCCTTTGGATTTTATGTATGCTAAATCTGAGCAATGGTCCAAACCAAATTGCTGGAAAGACTGATTCAGTAGTGTGAAAAGTATGTGTATTCATGAGAATCTTGCGGAACACCCAAAATAAATATATCCCATTGGTGGGCTGGTTATTTTGAACTAGGTAGAGTACAGAGAAGGTCCTCTCTAAGGAGGAGATCTCTGTGTCAACGTAACTTAGATTCTTGTAGCCCAAACGTACTCTGCTTAGACGGTAGTTCAGTGCAGTCTTGGCCATGTTGAGCACCAGCCAGCATGATCAGTGGTCAAGGATGAGAGGTGTGGAAGGCCAGCAAGTTCTGGAGGGCTACAGGTTTATTGATTGTTCTACCCTGGCCAAAAGAAAACAGATTGAATAGGAACCATTATGTTGCTTTGGAAAGGTCTACTGGTCAAAACCGAAGTCTGCCTCTGTTCATACTGGATATATATGGGACAGAAAACCTTCTATACTAGAGTGACTTGAGCAGGTGTTGTAAAGAAACTTACCCCTCCTTCAACATATTTTAAAGTAAGTAATATGGTACTTTGCAGTGGGGAAACAGGATCCTATAGCCCCCTCCCAGCTTTTGTCTGATGGCTGCATGAATAGCCAAAAGTAGATTATTTGAGTTTCCCCCACCATTTGTTGTAGTAAAATAATACACTCAGATGTGTTTTTCAGACTATAAACTTTAGAGTGAAATTGGAGAAGTTTTCTACAACAGACTCTCATGTCAAAGTTGGAAATGCTTAAGAGAAACCATGTTGTAACTCTTCCACTCTTTTTCTTTTCAGATTTGTCTCAAGTTGTAAAAAAACCACCCCCCAAAAAACAAACAGCACCCTAAACGCACTTGTAGCTTAAAGCTTCTGAAGAAAAATGGCACAACTCTTGTAGAGAAGATGGCCCACTAGATTCTCAGGGAAGGGCACAAATCTCAAGATGGCGGCCCAGAGGATTCGTGCTGCCAATGCCAGCGGGCTCCCCCGGTGCAGATCTGAGGGGACACTGATTGACCTGAGTGAAGAATTTTCTGAAACCAGCTTCAGTTCTGTCAAAGGTGAGAGGGTTTTTTGTATGTAAGTTGGAGCACCAAAACTGAAGTGCCTACAAGAGAAGGGAGTCTGGAAGCACCATCACTGTAAAGTTACCAAACTAGCTCAGTAGTCACCAGTCTTTTCAGACCAGTGGGCATATTTCAAATTGTGAGAGAGCACTGGCAGCACCAGTCACAAACTAGCAGCTATGGGGCAGGGAGCATGGTATAATACAAAATGGCTACCATGGGGAGCATGACATAACACCAAATCAGAGAGACAGCCAGCCCTGATGACCTTCTGATTACCATGGGAAGTCAGCTACATTCTGCTGGTCCTGATTGTGGAGATCAGACAGTGTTGATTTTGCGCATGCACACCCACCAATGCTGTGTAACGGCAACAGGGAGCATTCCACAGTACCTGGAAAAACATGCAAGGCAGCCACACCACATTAACTCTCATTTCATAGAAATTGCTTAGTAGCTTTCTGTGCATTTTGCCCCATAACTTTCTGGAAGGACCAGACACTTCTTTTTTCTTTTTAAAAAACGAAAGCTTAAGAGTTTGGGACCCTTCCCAAGGAGCAGCAGTGGAAATCTTCAGCGGGGTTGGTGACCCCTGCCCTAGCTCATGCTTTTTGCTCTTGTAGCTTTGTCTTCCAGATGTGCAGCAGGCAGTGGCGTAGCGTGGGTTGTCAGCACCCGGGGCAAGGCAAGTAATTTGCACCCCCTAACCCGTGGATTTGCGCCCCCCTAACCTGTGGATTTGCCCTAACCCCAGATGTTGCGCCCGGTGCGGCCGGCCCCCCCTGCACCCCCCACGCTACGCCACTGGCAGCAGGCAAAGCATGGTGGGTGGGATAAGTGAAAAGGCCCTGTTTCTGGTCACTACAAGCCATTTAGCATAAGCTATGGTTTGCAAACTCATGGTTTCTGACTCTGACTTGCCAGACTATTGGAAGCAATAGTTTGTCAATCACACACCACACCAAACCATAGTTACGCTTCCTTAACTGTGATTTGATGCATTGTCTGAATTGTGCCTTAAAGTGTCACATGATCCTATTTCTTGATCATGCTACTTACATAATACTTCAAAATATTGTTTTGGAATGAAATGATTTCTGTATAAATGCTCTTCTGAAAAGTTTTCCGAGAGTTAATACCTTATGTTTATAATAACTAAGTGTGGCATGGCTTGAAGGAGAAATTTCAGGAGCATCAGCACGTTTAGCTGAATTTTTTAATTCCTCATAGGAAGTGCTATGGCGGGCAGATTACGATGAAAGTATTGTGTGTTGTTTCAGCAGCTATAGATGCTACTGCTTTGGAATTCAGTCAGTGGATACAAGATTGAGATTGACTTAATGGTTACCGAAAACAACCTTGATCCAGAGATGGAAAACGTTGGTTTAGTGAAGCGGCTTTCCTTAGCCACCTGTCCCTGGGGTGGGCAGAGGTGGGCTCTGCTACTGTATTCAATTTGTCTTCCCCTCTATCCAGAAGAGTGGAAAGAGGATGAATAACTTCACATTACCAGAAGAGATCATCCTGGCATCCTCCTTCACTCAGCAGGAAGCACACCCGTTTGTTTCCCTCTGTGTGCTTTAAATGTCTCCAACACAAAACACACTTTTTTAGCCCCTCCTGCATTTGCCCCATTAGTGATAAGGCTCCATCTGCAAAACCTGCTGCTTCGCGTATGTGCAGTCACCAAGACCTAATTCTCGCTGAGGCTGCGCCATTTTAGAGTACGGGGCAGGGCTTTCGTGATGACTGAATATTCTGCTGTACAAAAAGGACCTGAACAAGCAGCAGACGGACATCCCTTTGAGAGACCAGTTTCAGAGACTGCAGTAAAACTCTTTGGTTGGTTGCTGTCTGCCTGACTTCAGGGACAGGGTGGCTGGAGAAGACAGCCTGGTGTCATCATATGGGAAAGGTGAGCCTTCGCTCATCCAGGTCACAAACCATTAGAGATTTATGAACACAACCTTTTGCATTATGCCTGAGAAAACGCTGGCAATCAGTGTAGTTGTTCACCTTTTTCACCAGCCAGGTTTTACTGATGGGGATGGGGTGGTAAACAGCTGTTTTGTCTATACTGTCAGTGATTATTAACCTACAGGAAGTAGTAATATGCTAAGATTTTTGCCTTGGAAAGAGGCATTTCCTTTTCATCTACCGACGCCTGAAGCACATTTGGTAGGAATGCAAAAGAGGGTCTTCTCAGTGGCTGCTCCAAACTCTGGAACCCCTTACCCAGAGAAGCCTGGCTAGCTCCTTCTCTGATAATGTTCTGCTGACAACAGATGGGCATTTTTATTTAAACAGAGTGCAGGCCTCTTAACTGGTTTTGATTTTTACTGGTGCCCTGCAAGCTTTGTTTTTTTATATTATTATTATTATTATTATTATTATTATTATTATTATTATTACCACCTTCTATACCACCCTTCGAGAGGGATGCGGGTGGCGCTGTGGGTAAAAGCCTCAGCGCCTAGGGCTTGCCGATCGAAAGGTCGGCAGTTCGAATCCCCGCGGCGGGGTGCGCTCCCGTTGTTCGGTCCCAGCGCCTGCCAACCTAGCAGTTCGAAAGCACTCCCGGGTGCAAGTAGATAAATAGGGACCGCTTACCAGCGGGAAGGTAAACGGCGTTTCCGTGTGCGGCTCTGGCTCGCCAGAGCAGCGATGTCACGCGGGCCACGTGACCCGGAAGTGTCTCCGGACAGCGCTGGCCCCCGGCCTCTTGAGTGAGATGGGCGCACAACCCTAGAGTCTGTCAAGACTGGCCCGTACGGGCAGGGGTACCTTTACCTTTATACCACCCTTCACCTGAGGATCGCTAGGCAGTTTACGATATAAAAGTACAAAAATGCATAACATAGTAGCGAACAGAAAAATCAGTGCCCCCCCCCAATATATGCCCTCCCGATGTCTGAGTGGGTATCCAAATGAAGTTGGTGTGTATATGAAGTACAGTGGTACCTCGGGTTAAGTACTTAATTCGTTCCGGAGGTCTGTTCTTAACCTGAAACTGTTCTTTAGCTAATGGGGCCTCCTGCTGCTGCCGCGCCGCCAGAGCACGATTTCTGTTCTTATCCTGAAGCACTATTTCTGGGTTAGCGGAGTCTGTAACCTGAAGCGTATGTAACCTGAGGCGTATGTAACCCGAGGTACCACTGTATGTTCAGTTCCAGCAAGGGCATTAAGGTCTTCATAATAGATGTTGAACATTTAGCCTTCCATGCCTGGAGCGGAGAGTGTGTGTGATCTTACACATGTGCATAAATGGGCATATTGGTTCTGGCTTCCTAAAGCCAGCACACTGCATGGGCATGCAGGGATTGACATACTGGTATGTGCAGGGTCATCACACACAATGCTCTTTAAGCCAGCAATACTTTAAATTCCAGTTTCTCCCATGAGGAGCATTCTGTATAGGATGTGGTGTGTGAATTGGCCTTAAGTTCTGGTTTTCTTTGAAACTGGACCCTACATTCAGCCACATATGAGGGTGTTTCCTTGCTGATTTATTGCATTGTGTCTGTATTGTTGTGGTTGGCCACCTTGAATGTTATCTGGTGGAAAGTTGGGATAGAGATTTAATATATAAACAGATGTGGACATTTGGACTGGGTGACTTTAGGGTTCCTTTAGGCCCTAAGATTAATGCGCTGTCTCCTTTAATATGCTCAGACGGTGATTATCTAGTAACCCAGATTTGTGTGCATTAAGACCTCTAAGCTTCTCAGCCGCAGATTAGTATCTTCATTTCTCCCTACTCATTTACATCAGCTCTGCTTCGGTTTGCCCTGCTCAGCAGTTATCTTCCTTAAGAATAATGGATGCAAAGCATTCCTTAAGTGTGGCTTTCCCCCTTGTCTAAGTTACCTTGAAGCATTAACGTTCTTATCATGCAGCAGCTTCCTCCCATTGTACGTGGTGTTCTGAGCCTTCTTCGGCAATGATATAACACTTTGCCTCTTTGCTATGAGATTTAATTCCACTTAAGATTCAGCAACGTGGAATCTCATATTTTGTTTTTCCTATGAATTTATTACTGTGAGCCTTTGAGATCAGGCCATCTCGCTACTGAATGTGTAAGCCTTCCTGCATGGACAAATTATCTTCCATGACTTGGATAAAATTTGCACTACCATTAAGACTCTGTTAACTCTTTCCAACCTGGAGCAACCTGCATTTCAGTACTGGAGAATGTGAAAGAATGTGAAAGTGGATGGGTCCCTCAGATTTCTGCCAGACCTTCACCTATGCAGCTGTTTGTTTAGATTTGGCTCTTTCTAGCCTGGAATTGGATTTGTAAGTTAATGAGGCAGTTGTTTAAAACAATAACTATCTGATACAGGAGTAACCTGATGCTTGCAAATGCTTGTGCAACAAATACTAGTTAAAGCCTCGTATAACAAAGCTGAATCAGTTCATGGCCAATGTCATTCTCAACCAACTTCTTTTTCCATTGTTGTGTGCCACAGCCCACATTTAGCACAGCGTCTCCTTGTGGATCTAGTGATGAATTTGCCCACACATTAATCTCCAAATCTGCAAGTAGTTAACTCACCCATATCACACCCTTTCCCCAATAGAGATTTACAGTGCAATGTATGCACGTCTATTCATGTCTGCTCAGAAATTAGCCCTATTGAGTTCAACAAGGCTTACTCCTAGGTGTAAACTTGGTATAAGATTGCAGCCTTAGTCTCTAATGATGCAGAATCCATTAATCTCTTAAAGGATTTCTTGAAAAATAATGTGTGTGTTTATGCATGCAAATATCCTGATTCAGAGTACAAGCAAAAGAGCTACAGTATAATTATTCAATGCTGGTAGATGGTTGTTATCACCTGCAGTTGCTCACTACGTTCTGCTTTTTGATTTGCAGTGCCTTCTCCTAGTGCCTTGATGATAGACAATCCTACGTCATTTGGAAATGCAAAGGAAGTTGTAGCAATTAAAGACTACTGCCCCAACAATTTCACCACCTTGAAGTTCTCCAAGGGTGACCACCTTTATGTCTTAGATACTTCAGGAGGTGAGTGGTGGTATGCTCACAATACCACAGAGATGGGCTATATCCCGTCCTCCTACGTTCAGCCTGTAAACTACCGGAACTCTTCATTAACGGACAGTGGAATGATAGACCATCTGCTGGAAAGCTCCGATGAGGGAGCCAAAGAGCTGGACCTGCTTGGAGACTGGACAGATTTAAACCTGAGCTTAGCCAAAAACAACCCTTTTATGAATAACATGCAGACTAACCCTTTTCTGAATGGGAATTTGCAGATAATGCCTGATAGGAACAAGGATTGCTCCCACCAAACCACTGTGGATTTGTTGCTGTTTGACACAGGGGCGCCCACCTTTACAGGGTCAAGTTCTGCAACTGACAGCAGTCTAGGTAACCATCTTGATGAGGGTCCATCAATGAATGGATTTGAGTTTGAGCAGCCAAGCAGGCGGGACAATCCTTTTTTCAGAAGCAAGCGCTCCTACAGTTTATCAGAGCTCTCTGTACTCCAGGCAAAGTCAGAAAACCCAGAATCCTCAGGCTTCTTCACAGGGTTGAAATCTCCTACCCCAGAGGAATTCCAGAGCAGAGAAGACTTCAGAGCTGCATGGCTGAACCATCGAAAATTAGCAAGGTCTTGCCATGACCTGGATCTGCTGGGCCAGAACCCTGGTTGGGGTCAGACACAACCTGTGGAGACCAACATTGTTTGCAAGCTAGATAGTTCTGGGGGAGCAGTTCAGCTTCCAGATACAAATATCAACATGCGTCTTCCGGAAGGGCACGTGGGTGCTGGCGACACTCAACAAATCTCCATGAAGGCTCTTTTGGACCCTCCTCTTGAGCTCAACAGTGACAAATGCAGCACCATCAGCCCTGTGCTAGAGATTAAGCTGAGCAACATGGAAACCAAAACCCCCCTCCTGCTGGAGATGAAAATTTCAGCGGAAGTGAAGAATGACCCAGTGAGCAAGAGTTTGGTGGGAGTGCAGTGCCTGCGCAGCGACATGAAGGACGGTCCATACACACCGGTGCGACTTGGCTGTTGCTATGGAGACAGCATCCAGGTTCAGCTGGAAAACCTGGAGCCTTGCATGTACATAGCCATTGTGGCCCAGGGACAGAACATTCCATATCCTTACACTGTCTGGGATTACATTAGTAAAAAAATCACAGTTGGAGTCTATGGGCCAAAGCACATACACCCTTCTTTTAAAACTGTGGTGGCCATCTTTGGACATGATTGTGCCCCCAAGACTCTGCTGGTGAATGAAGTTACACGTCATGCACATTGTACATCGGCAGTGGCGCTGCAGTTGTGGGGGAAGCACCAGTTCACCTTAGCGAGGCCGCAAGACCTAAAGCTGTGCATGTTTTCAAACATGACTAACTATGAGGTAAGAGCCAGCGAGCAGGCAAAAATCGTGAGGGGCTTCCAGATGAAACTGGGCAAAGTCAGCCGCCTCATATTCCCCATCATGTCACATGATCCCAACGAACTGTATGACTTCACCCTGAGAATACAAGTCAAGGATGCTAAGGATGCCATATTGACTCAGTTCTGTGTTCAAACACCACAGCCTCCTCCCAAAAGTGCTATCAGGTCAAGTGGGCAGCGAAGGTTCCTGAAAAAAAATGAAGTGGGGAAAATAATCCTGTCTCCTCTTGCAACCACCAGCAAATACCCTGTCTTCCAGGATCGGATAGTGGCAAGCTTAAAATATGGGAAACTACTGAAAACTGTAGTGCGGCAAAACAAAAACCATTATCTCTTGGAATATAAGAAAGGGGATGCCATAGCCTTGCTAAGTGAGGAGAAAATCAAGTTGAAAGGTCAGCTCTGGACAAAGGAATGGTACATTGGTTACTATCAGGGTAAAATTGGCCTTGTCCATACCAAAAATGTTTTAGTTGTTGGGAAAGCCAAGCCGAATTATTTCTCTGGGCCCGAGCTCACCACCAGTATGTTGCTGGAGCAAATCCTGCGGCCTTGTAAGTTTCTCACCTATATCTATGCTTCAGTAAGGACTTTGCTCATGGAAAACATTAGCAGCTGGCGTGCGTTTGCAGATGCTCTGGGATACAGCAACTTGCCACTTGTTTTCTTCTGTCGAGCGGAGCTGGACAGTGAGCCAGAATGTGTGGCTTCTGTGTTGGAGAAATTGAAAGAAGACTGTAATAATTCCGACAGTAAGGATAGGAAGTCTTTCCAGAAGGAACTGATGTCAGTAAGTATTCTGGTTATTGGAAGTATTAAGTCAGGAATGGTCACCTGGTTTCCAGCATTCTGTTGTGGTAAGAGCTCCCCTGAACAGGCTGAGGGGAAAATAACTAAGACTTTTAAAGCTGCTGCTTGTTTCTAGCACAACTGAGCACCCAAACCAGCTCTTCTTCACTGTTTCCATATACCGTATTTTTCGCTCTATAAGACGCACCAGACCACAAGACACACCTAGTTTTTGGAGGAGGAAAACAAGAAAAAAAATATTCTGAATCTCAGAAGCCAGAACAGCAAGAGGGATTGCTGCTTTCACTGTGCAGTGAAAGCAGCAATCCCTCTTGCTGTTCTGGCTTCTGTGATAGCTGCGCAGCCTGCATTCGCTCCATAAGACGCACACACATTTCCCCTTTTTACGAGGGAAAAAGTGAGTCTTATAGAGCAAAAAAAACGGTATTTAAGTACCACCCAGGTGCTTCTCAAGAAACCAGGGTGCCTGAGGTAATGGCTGAGCATCCCCTTATACATTACTAATAGCACAATCCAAACAATGTCTACTTAGAAGTAAGTTATGATGAATTCAACAAAACTTACTTCCAGGTAAATAAGTTTAGGATTGTAGCCTTAGGCTGTGTTAGGCTGCAGACCTAAACTTGGAAGTAGCTGCCATTAAGATAAAGGGGGCTTACTTAGGAGTAATCATGATTAGGCTTGGGCTGCTATCCATTCTGTTTTCAATGAGTGAAGTGCAAATACAATGTACATTTCCTTGCCATTTTTATAAACGTATCTCAGGTGATTCTATCAAAAGACAATCACAGAAAAATTGTTGACTGGATCCCTTTCCCAGCTCAGAGGTGCATATTTAGATTAAGTAACCACAGGTAAATTTCATCTTTGGGTTGTATCCCCCTCTGAAATTGCTCATTAAAACTTTGCTTCAGTGAGCAAGGAAGTGCACTGCAACTGACAAATTGAAAGCCAGGTCTCTCGGGATTTGGGCCTTCTTAATAAAAGTGCTACTTTTTTCATTAAGTAAAAATGACCTTCCAGAAATCCATCTTGTAGAACCAGCTATATAATTATTTTACTTCTTCCTCAAGAGTATAGAAAACTTTGTGTGCTCAGGGAAGTGTTATACAGTAGTTACCCTCATTTAAAGCTGCAATCAAGCTGCTCCCTTTTTTAAAAAAAAGAATGTTTAAAGGAAACTGAACACCCAGTGTCTAAAACCATGATGCACAACACATGTCATATACACAATACATGTTGATTGGTTTAATTCCTACAAGAATTCTACCTTAATGATGAAAGCTCTTTTAGAAGATGCTATAAAGTGCCGGGACGCGGGTGGCACTGTGGGTTAAACCACAGAGCCTAGGACTTGCCGATCAGAAGGTTGGCGGTTCGAATCCCCATGACGGGGTGAGCTCCCGTTGCTCGGTCCCTGCTCCTGCCAACCTAGCAGTTCAAAAGCACGTCAAAGTGCAAGTAGATAAATAGGTACCGCTCCGGCGGGAAGGTAAACGGCGTTTCCGTGCTCTGGTTCGCCAGAAGCGGCTTAGTCATGCTGGCCACATGACCCGGAAGCTGTACGCCGGCTCCCTCAGCCAGTAAAGCGAGATGAGCGCCGCAACCCCAGAGTTGGCCGCAACTGGACCTAATGGTCAGGGGTCCCTTTAGGAGAGTATAAAGTGATGGTTGCCTGAAGGGATTAGGTTAAGCTGCTGTGATACAGAATGATGAGGAAGGAAGGAAGTGGGCCTTCAGTAAGGAGTGTGAGCAAAGGACAGGAGGGAGCCGGCTCTGCTTTGCCAGCGGGAGTAGTGCAGAAGTTTGCAAAGGCCTGATGGTTGTGTAGCACCATCAATGCAAATGAATTATCAGATTACCTGGATATTCTCCTTGATTTGGCAGGATGTTAAGAAGTGTACAAATAGGGGTTGTAAACTGGAAGATACAGTGGTACCTCAGGTTAAGAACTTAATTCATTCTGGAGGTCCGTTCTTAACCTGAAACTGCTCTTAACCTGAAGCACCACTTTAGCTAATGGGGCCTCCTGCTGCCGCCGCACGATTTCTCTTCTCATCCTGAAGCAAAGTTCTTAACCCGAGGTACTATTTTTGGGTTAGTGGAGTCTGTAACCTGACAGACTCATATGTAACCTGAAGCGTATGTAACCCGAGGTACCACTGTACTACTTCTGCCTGCTGGGAAATCAACTGTTGGAGTTCATGGGGGAGGAAATGCTCTAGAAAGTCAGAAGATGAGTCGGTTGCCCATGTCCTATAGGCCTGTGAAGCAGAGCAAGAGCAGGGCAAACTCTTTCAATGGCGTTAGGGGACTCTCCCCCCCCCTGGAAATAGGGCTCATTTCAGGCTTGGTTTTGGAGTTTGGGGGAACATGTAGGAGGCAGCAGGTCTGCCTTAATAAGATTAACTTCCAGCTCCCATCATTTCATACTGAGACATACGTGTGTGGTGCCCTGACTATCACTCAGCTTTTAATGGCTTGGGGAAAAATACTTAGCGGGGAGAGAATCCGCTTTGTTTAAGAATTGAGGGCCCTTGCAATGGTCCTACCATGCCTAATATGTCCATACCAAAAAAAAAAAAAAAAGAGTTCCTTGGTGCAGAAACATGTTATCACTCTACTACCTATAAGTTGCTTAATATCCAATCAGCTATTTGGAAATGAAAGTTTGCCCACTTTTGAGGCATTATCTAAATATTGAAGAGTACATACCATATTTTTCGCTCCATAAGACACACTTTCCCCCTCTTAAAATCTAAGGGGAAATGTCTGTGCGTCTTATGGAGCAAATGTGTGGTCCCTGGGGGGGGGGACCTGGGCTTCCCCTGCCAGCCCCAACAAGCTCGGGGAGCCGCGGGAAGGCTGGGTGCAGCCTTTCCGCTGCTCCCCGACCTGCTCTTTGGGGCTGGCGGTGGGGGAAAGCCCTGAGCAGCTCTGGGGTAGCCTGCGAAGCCTCCGCAGGGCAGCGGGGAGCCTTCATGCGGCTATCCCTGGCTGTTGCGGGAGGTGGGGGAAGGGACAGAGCGAGGCTCTCTCACTTCCCCCACCTCCCACAAAAGCCCCCAAGAGCTGCATATTTTTTTTCTTGAATTCCCCCCCCCCAAAAAAAAGTAGGTGTGCCTTATAGTCAGGTGCGCCTTATGGAGCAAAAAATACTGTACATTTGAATTACATTCTTCCGGCACTTCTTTTGAAGTGTTACTTTTGAATTTAAAGTATTCTTCTTTGGTATGCTGCCTGCTGCTTTGGTGTAAATGCTAAGGTATGCTTCAGAAATGGTAAGCTTCAGTAAATGCTAAGGAAGAGCATTGTTACTACTGTGAAGTAATAGCCAAGTGCCAGGCAAGTGGTCACTTTAGAGCACGCAGACGAGATCCACAGCCTCTTTCCCCCCAGAAATTGAAATAGTACAATTAGGAGGAATTAAAACTCCTGTTGTCAAATTTGCTAATCCCAGCAGGAGTGTAGTAATCACTTTTAAGAGCATGTGGGCTATAATGTAATTAATGCACATTATTGAAGGCCAGACCACAGGGATTCTCCTGTCTATGCTGCATATCCTAATGCATAAGCTAGTTTTGCAGTGCCTTTGCACACACGTAATTAAAACAGGATATTTACATTTAATTTAACGGAATAGCAAGGTCCTAGAATAGAATATCAGAATTGTAGAGTTGAAAGGGACTCCGAGGGTCATCTAGTCCAACCCCTGGAATGCAGGAATCTCAGTTGAACCATCCATGACAGATGACCACCCAACCTCTGCCTAAAAACCTCCAGTGAAGGAGAGTCCACTGTGCATCAGCTCTTACCATCAGCGGTTCAGTTGGAATCTCCTTTCTTGTAACTTGAAGCCATTGGTTCAGGTTCTACCACCTGGAGCAGAAGAAAACAAGCTTGCTCCGTCTTCCATGTGACAGCCATTTGAAGATGGCTATCATATCTGGATGGTCATCTGTCATGGATGATTTAACTGAGATTGCTGCATTCCAGATATGGAATGGGACGCGGGTGGCGCTGTGGGTAAAAGCCTCAGCGCCTAGGACTTGCCAATCGCATGGTCGGCGGTTCGAATCCCCGCGGCGGGGTGCGCTCCCGCTGCTCGGTCCCAGCGCCTGCCAACCTAGCAGTTCAAAAGCACCCCCGGGTGCAAGTAGATAAATAGGGACCGCTTTCTAGCGGGAAGGTAAACGGCGTTTCCGTGTGCGGCTCTGGCTCGCCAGAGCAGCGATGTCACGCTGGCCACGTGACCCGGAAGTGTCTGCGGACAGCGCTGGCTCCCGGCCTATAGAGTGAGATGAGCGCACAACCCTAGAGTCTGGCAAGACTGGCCCGTATGGGCAGGGGTACCTTTACCTTTTTATCATATCTGTTTGACAGTGGAACAGACTCCCTCAAGTGGTTATGGACTCTTATTCATTGGAGGTTTCTAAGCAGAGGTTGGATACCATCTGTCGTGGATGTTTAGTTGAGATTCTTGCATTGCAGGAGATGGACTAGACGATGTTTGGGGCTTTCCAACTCTACAATTTTATGATTCTATCATCTCTCAGTCTCCTGTTTTCCAGGCTATACACTCAACTCCCTCAACTGTTCCTCATAAGGCTTGGTTTCCAGACATTTGAACATCTTGGACAAATTAAGTTACACACTTCTATTTTGCTTGGCTTAAGAACTAAGCATTACCTGAACGTACTCCTGTTTGGAGTATCTATATAACAAGACAGAGAGGGGAATATAAATATAAAATAGTAGTGTTTTTCCTCTATCTTCTGATCTCCTACAGAAATGGCCTGATGCTCCAGTGAGGTTGGGTGTCCATGGCTAACTTGACTTGTTCTGCATTCCTTCAGGCCTTGCTGAAAATGGACTGCCAGGGCTTGGTTGTGAGGCTAATTCAGGATTTTGTGCTTCTGACTACGGCTGTGGAAGTGGCCCAGCGCTGGAGAGAGCTTGCTGAGAAACTGGCCAAGGTCTCCAAGCAACAGATGGATGCTTATGAAGCCCCCCATCGAGACAAGAACGGAGCTGTGGATAGTGAGGTAAGAAAGCTTTCATGTAATGCATTCTGGGTTTTGCTGGATGGCTCACTCGGCACTATAGGTTGGAAAAACAGTTTGCTATTATGTACAGCTCCCTTTTTGATCTTGAATGATGACAAAAGAGCACAGCAATTTGTTGCATGTTTGCTGTGGTGAAAAAAGTGGCCACAAAGGAAGAAATGCATTCAGCCTTGAGTGTTATTCCTCTTCCATGGTCTTGCAGGTGTTGTATTTATCGCAAAAAGGTATCAAAGTGAAATGGCTTGCCCTTCCTAGTACTTACATTCTGAATGCTGGCCACCCTCAGATTTAATCTGTTTTCCATGTTCACATTTAGCTGGTGTGGTTCAACAGAACAGGGAAAGTTGGCGCAGACAGCACTGGGTGTTTCTTTCCATCCAGCTAACTATTGCCTCTATTTGTAATGTTGAAAGAGTTATTGAAAACACCTCAGTACTTACAAGAATACCGAGCCATTTGTCAGCTGAAAATTTGAGTTAGACCCAAATTTGCAGCACACGAAGCATCTAATTTGACAGCAGTGTTTCTGGACTTAGTGTGCTGTGTCTGAGACCTTTTCCTTATTCTGTCCTCTAGCGTTTGGTTTTGCAGGAAACCCTTTATTAAAAAGAAATGTAGCTTAGCCTACTGCAGTATTTCTCATAAATTTGTTCTGATATGGTTTATTCTAGGACTGAAGTTCCTGCTTTTCTTTTGGTCTAGTTCTTATTGAAGTCGCAGCTGGTGTCAAGGCTGTGCCACTTCAGCCTGTATGTGTTGATTCACATGGATGAATATCTTAGGTACAGTGGTGCCTCGCAAGACGAAATTAATCCGTTCTGCGAGTCTCTTCGTCTAGCGGTTTTTTCGTCTTGCGAAGCAACCCTATTAGCAGATTAGCGCTATTAGCGGTTTAGCGGCTTAGCGGCTATTAAAGGCTTAGCGGCTTAGCGGCTAAAAGGCTATTAGCGGCTTAGCGGCTTAGAAAAAGGGGGGGAAGCGGAAAAAAATCGCAAGACATTTTCGTCTTGCAAAGCAAGCCCATAGGGAAAATTCGTCTTGCGAAGCAACTCAAAAACGGAAAACCCTTTCGTCTAGCGGGTTTTTCGTCTTGCGAGGCATTCGTCTCGCGGGGCACCACTGTATATATTCAGGATTTTTATCCCATGCCTGGTCCAGTCAAAGTGTTATAAGAATGAGACAGCCCTTGCTCTTGGGTCTGCAAGAGACTGCAGAGACGGTGTACACAAGATGGTTTGGTTTGGCTGACATAAATCCTAATGGCAGAGCAGTCTTGTATACTGTGTTAATGCTGGTTTCTTGTCTTTGGCAGGCAATGTGGAAACCAGCGTATGACTTTATGCTCACATGGAGCAATCAGATGGGAGACAGTTATCGCGATGTGACACAAGAGCTGCACATTGGCCTTGACAAGATGAAAAATCCCATCACAAAACGCTGGAAGCATCTCACTGGAACACTAATTTTAGTCAACTCCCTGGAGATTTTGAGGGCATCTGCCTTCAGCCCACAAGACCATGATGATTATGCTATATGAAGGGGAGCCCGAACTTCTCGATGCTTCTTATTTGTATGTTTTTAACTAAAACACAGTGGGAAGACACTTCTGCAAAGCCAAAGTTTTGAGCAATAGTTTCTGTGCTCAGACTGCAAACTTCTTACTGTTGCCGCTCCCTGGTGCAGAAGACACTCAAGACTCTTGTTTTCTATGCTCTGTGGTTGAAAGCTTTTCTTAATTTGTAACATTTAAAATGGAACTTTTTTAGGCATTTGCAGATATCAGCCTTGAAAGTTGAAATTACTTTGGAGAGCTACCATTTCTGTGTAACATGAAACACATTTTTGCCCCCTTTAAAACTATCATTCCTCAATGAGTCATTGATATGCATTAAAATGAAGCACAGTCAGGCATCTTGCAAGCATTTGCAATTTCTAATGTGCCGCTCTGAAAACAGTTTATACATTAGTGTGCTAACACGCCCCCCCCCATCCAGTGATCCTATCGGTCTTATAAATGACTCTCCATGGTTCGCTTTTATGTACACCTTTTCGTAAGGAAGAAAAAGCACACTTCCTCCCCCACCCCCACTGAAGTGATTTTGTTACCTAAAATTTAGGACTATGTGCTAGTGCTCAAGCTGCTTCAGATCCATGATTAGAAATAACTAGAAACAATTTCAGATTATAGGACCGATCCATCCCCTTTCACATTTTAGAAAATTGTAATGGATACCATTTATGGTCAAATAGCATTTCACAGGTCTCTAACAGTAGTGTCTTGACCATCTCTGCTGGCAGGTGACTGTCACCAGAAGTTTACATTGTATTATTTTAAATGCAGAAACAAGTATTCGATAGTGGTTGTAAGTGTGCCATTGTTTAAGCTGAAGTTTTAGGATTAGTTCTTTCGAGGGTCATTGCCTGTGTTGAGGCTGCACCACTTGAAGCTCACATGACCGAATGTGTCTCTATTCCACACATTCTCTGGATGCAGAAAACTGACTCCTCAAAGGGAAGCCTATAATCCGCTCCCCCTCCCCAAAACACATAGAGCAGCCGTCTGCAACCTCCAAAGGTTCTGGAGCTCCATCAGCCTTAGTGCGCATAGGGATGATGGCAGTATAGCCTCAAACATCTGGAGGACCACAAGTTGTGAAGAGCAACTTACCATGTGAGGCCCTGCGTGCAGTCTGAAGTATTTTCAGCCTAGACACATTTTCCACCTTAAGTAAGAACTAGACCTACCTCTGATCAGGTGCCTAGTTGGTCACTCAGAAATGCTTGACTTGACAGCACTCTCTCATTGTGTTCCCAAGGGTATTCTGTTCATTTATTAGCCCTTAGGTCACTGGGATTCACCTTATGTGCTGTATGAGCATTCAAGAGCTGAAATGACATCACCTCTGTGATGTCATGTACCGTATAACGCTATAGAAAGAAGTCTAGTTGTACAACTTTCAAATGAAGGTTTTTGTGAAGCCCTTTAAGTCTACCTCTTGATTCCAAAATACTTCATGTGGGAAACGTTTTCATTTTTTCTAGTGTGTGCATTGGTTTTTTGCACAAGAGATTTTCATAACACATTTACTAAATTTCCCAAGACACTGTTCAAATGTTGAATATTAAAGGGAACGTGATCACTATTAGTAATGTTTTAAACCTGTTTTCCCATTTTAGAAACATGTCACAGCTTTGTTCTTTGGAACAAGCTGACCTTTTAAGCAACTTGGGTTATACAACACAACTTTCCTATCAACAGTTCCAGAATTTGAAGAAAGCATGCTCCAAGCTTGTTGGAAAGGTGTTCCTATTGTTTGCGTACATGTTTAATTAGTGAGGAAAGTGCTTGTCATTTATTTGCTTTCTTAGCCGGCTCCTTTTAAATGTCCTCCCTATGTACTTTCCTACTCTGTCTAATGAAAAGCACCTTAAACTTGGGGTTTTGTTGCAAGAGATTGAAGCAGATTCCTATGCAAGTGTTCACATAACATGTTTGAAGTTGGTTAGGCTAGTGGTATTATCCCGTGCTCATGGAAGTCATTTTTCCAAAGCATGCCTGTTTTTCTCTCTTGACAAAACCAGAATCTGCACATGATCCTGAGTAGCATGTTTGAGTGTAGGGAAGGAAAAACAATCCCCCTTGTATGAAATATGATGCAAGATGGCAAGCCACAGCAGTTAAGGGTAAAATATTTTTAATTGGCCTGGGGGGTGGGGCTTCTCTTTCATTGTGATATTTTTCAGAAATAAAACAAGTCCATGGAATGGTTAGTCTCTCTCTAGATACACGGAAACCTGAGGGGAATATTATTGCACATGATAGTCTAGGCTCCCCTCAGATGGATGGGGCTGTGAGAATGCAGGTCTGCTCCTGTGTATAAATGTTCTCACTGTATGTGCGCAATCACTGAGGTAATGATAATGTGTCCAAGGTAGCCTTATTCTGCACCTGCCTCTGTGCCAGACGTGAAACTTTCATCCGTGATACTTGGTTACAGTGATTGTGGACTCTACAGATTCAGTCACAGAGTTAGTTTGTACTTCTGTGTCTTGTAAGAGCAGAATCGAGCTGCAGCAATGAGATTTTAATCAATTTTAACAGTGGGAGTTTAAAGCTGGCTATTGGGGGAGATTTCATTTCCATAAATTGGATGAAATATTCCATGAGATATTTTTTTTTGGGGGGGGGAGGCAGGGAAATGGTCTGGTTTGCCTTTTTCTGCCATTTTTATCAAACTACCTCAGGTCCTACACACTTTTTCATGTTTTGACTTAAAGTCTAAAAGCTCCCCTGGATGATTACTACACACCACCGACACTACACTATGGAGAACTATCAAATCACAACAGCAGCTTTTCTAGATTAGTTTGATGCAATTGCTGCATGACTGATTTTCTGTTTTGACTCAAAAAAAGTCAGGTCCTAGCACATAGTTGGAGTGGTTTGTATGTTCAGCCAAATGCCTTTCACTCAAAGTATGTCCTTACATTGTAAGCTTGCTTTGGATTTTACATTAATACACTGTACAAGTAGTTTGTTGTACATTTTTTAAAATAAAAAAAACTTGTCAAAACTACAATTAAAGCAGATATTTGAACACTGCTTTGTTTCAGTGTGATTCATTTTGGGGGAGCTTGACTCAGACTTTTGTGTGTTTGTGCTTTGAAGCAGTGACCACTCTGCATATTCTCACTGAACTGTCACATCAGATGTAGATTTTAGTCATTGTGAAGGCTGGAATAAAAACTATTGCAGAGAGTCTTTCTGGGGTGGTGTCAGGTTCTCACCAGAACTGAATGGGCTCAGATGTCCCAATTCCCACCTGAAAGCTTTCTTCCCCTAGCATCAAGAAATATACCCAAGAAGTATGACATAAATCAATAGGAACAAACATTCATTGAACAGGTAACTTCCTCTGTGTCAGGCTCAGCAGTTCAGCGCCACTGCTTACAACTTTGAGCTCATTTCCAAAAACAAGGCATGCCAGACGAATCTCATTTCCTTTTTTGATAAGAGTTACAAGCTTGGTGGGTGTGGGGGAGTGTTGTAGGTGTAGTTATCTTGATTTCAGTAAGGCTTTTGACAAAAGCCTGTATGATATTCTTGCAGAGAAGCTGGTAAGATGTGGACTGGACGAGATAACGGTTAGGTGGATTGTAGCTGGTTGACTGACCACCCAAAGAGTGACAACCCTCATCCTGGGAAAGTGACAAGTGGGGTGTCGCAGGTTCTGTCCTGGGCCCCTTTTCCTTCAACGGCTTTATAAATGACTCGGATGAAGGTCTTGAGAGGAGGCTCATTCCATCTGCAGATGACACCAAACTGGGAGGGGTAGCCAATGCCGCTGAAGACAGAATCTGAATTCAAGATGACCATGAGAGATTAGAGAACTGGGTCAAATCTAACAAAATGAATTTCATATGGATAAATGTAGGCAGAAAACCAGCTGCACAATTAAGATGAGGACTTACTAGTACTTGACATATGAAAAGTATCGGTTCTTTAGTGGACCACAATGAACGATGAGTCACAGTGTTGATGCAGCAGCAAAAAAAAGCTAATGCTTTCTAGGCTGCATCAAAGAAGCTAGCTTAGAACATAGGTTGATGACCACAAGGCATCGAGTCACCCCCTGAAGAGAAACCCTCAGACCTGATTGTTTCAGCTCTGCTTAAAGATCAAAGAGGAGACTAATCAGGTATATACCACTCTTTTCCTGCCTTTGTCAGATCACACTTGGAGTACTGTATCCAGATTCTGGGTGCCTCCGTATCTAAGGAGGGATATTGACAAGCTGGAGCATGTGGCAGAGGAAGGTGATCAAGATGATCAAGGATCTGGAAACCAAGTCTTATGAGGAATGAGGGAGCTGGGTAAATTTAGCCTGGAAAAGGGGACTGAGAGGAGATATGATAGCCATCTTCAAATATCTTAAGGGCTGTCGCATGCTTGTTTTCACCTCCTCTGGAGGGTAGGACTCGAACCCATGGCTTCAAGTTACAAGAAAGGAGAGTCAGACTAAATATCAGGAAGAACTTTCTGACAGAGAGAGCTGATGGACAGTGGAACGATCACCCTTGGGAGGTGGTTGGAGGCTTTTAAGCAGAGGTTGAATAACTATCTGCCATGGATGCTTTAGTTGAGATCCCTGAATTTCAGGAGGCTGTACTAGATGGCTGTTGGTGGCCTTGGTGCCCTGTGGTTCACTCTAGGAGCAAAGAGACCTGGATTCAAATACCCACTCAGCCATGAAGGTTGTTGGTGATCTTTGATGAGTCACTATATCTCCTCCCACAAGCTTGTTTTGAGGATAAAGTGGGCAAAGGGCACACTGGTCGGAATCTGCAGAAGTAGAAAATTAATTGAAAGCAGTTGTCATCTGTAGTGCACCAGGTGGCTCTCTGCTACAACCTACCTGCCACTTACAATGAGGATGGGCAGCCTGTGGCCCTTCAGCTGTGGTGGGGCTCCCAAATCCCTTTAGCGCAGCCCGCATGACCAGCAGTCAGCGATTATAAAAACTGTAGCCAACAACATAGGGAGGCACAAAGCTTCCCATTCCCTAGCGGACTCGCACAGTTCAATAAAACTGGTGTGTCTGTCCTATAGATGGTCTTGAATGCTGGCATCCATAACCCAGCCACAGAGCACACCTTTGACATGTTCAGAATGCAGTTCCACAGGTGGGTACCTGTGTTGCGATGCGCTCAAGGGAACGGGAGCAATTGGCAGGCCCACCTGGTTCCAGCCCACCGGCCGATTGCTGGTTGAACTCCAGTCCTTGGTTCTGCATCAAAACTGCGACTCAGAGCTTCACAAACCTTTCAGAAGCTGAGCACGCAAGCCAGGAGAGATAACAATCTCTTTGCGACGGAAGGGCGGACAGAGGCATATGTAAAGCATATTTACAAGCAATTTATTCAACATAGATCAAGACAAAGAAACCATGGCCGCTCTCCTTCATGTCAAAGAGCAAGAAGCATAAGGCAAAAGCTATAGACAAATGGAAGTTCCCAGTAAGCTGTGCTGGAATGTAAACAGACATGTGACATACAACAGCTCCACACATCTGTTTAGGTGAAACGGAACATCAATACAGTGGTGCCTCGCAAGACGAAATTAATTCGTTCCGCGAGTTTTGTCGTCTTGCGATTTTTTTCGTCTTGCGAAGCACGGTGTCGGGAAAGTTTTGGAAAAGCTTCAAAAATCACCAAAGTCTTTAAAAACCTCAAAAAAGGCTACCACACCGCGTTCTATGAGTTGCTCCTCGAAGTCAAGTCGCAACTGTATTAACGGTGTTAAGAAAAAGGAAACAAACTTGCAAGACGTTTCTGTCTTGCGAAGCAAGCCCATAGGGAAAATCGTCTTGCGAAGCAGCTCAAAAAACAAAAAACCCTTTCATCTAGCAAGTTTTTTGTCTTGCGAGGCATTCGTCTTGCGAGGTACAGTGGTGCCCCGCAAGACGAATGCCTCGCAAGACGGAAAACCCGCAAGACTAAAGGGTTTTCCGTTTGCGAGTTGCTTCGCAAGACGAATTTCCCTATGGGCTTGCTTCGCAAGAAGAAAGCCCATAGGGAAATCTCCAGGGACCTCTTTTAAATGCTGGCGGTGGGGAGCAAAGCCTTTCCCCCCCTCCGGCCTTCAGAAGAGGTCCAGGAAGGCCGGCGGGGGCCGAAAGGCTTTGCTTCCCACCGCCAGCATTTTAAAAGCAGTCTGGGATAGCAGGGAAGCACTTCCCGCTATTGCGGACGGCTTTTGAAGGCAGGCGGGGGGGAGCAAAGACTTTTGCCCCCCGCCCGCCTTCAGAAGAGGTCCAGGACCTCTTCTGAAGGCTGGCGGGGGGCAAAAGTCTTTGTCCCCCCTGCCTGCCTTCCCAGGGGCTTTTAAATCGCCCCGGACAGCGGAGAAGTCCTCCGCTGTCCCGGGGCGATTTTAAAATGCCGCCCGCCAGCATTTTAAGATCACCCCGGACAGCGGAGAAGTCCTCCGCTGTCCCGGGGTTTTTTAAAATGCTGGGGGTGGGAAGAAAAGCCCTTGTCCCCCCCCCAGCCTTCAGAAGAGGTCGGGGGACAGACTGTCCCCGGACCTGGTCTGAAGGCGGTTTCCATAGGAACGCATTAATTGATTTTCAATGCATTCCTATGGGAAACCGTGCTTCGCAAGACGAAAAACTCGCAAGAAGAAAAAACTTGCGGAACGAATTAATTTCGTCTTGCAAGGCACCACTGTACCACTGTATCCTAACAACCTGTACCTGTCTTTGCCTTGGTTTCAGCATTTCACTTACAACTAACACCACCTCTGCTTCTGTTTCCCAACAAGGGAGCAGTCCTGACAGCAAGATAGCAGGTACAGGCAACTTCTGTAAGCAGAAAATAACATTCTACAGTCATGATCTTTTTTTTAATCCCTGCCTTTTCTTGTTAGAATATAAGACCTGGACAATGCTTCAGGGGGCAGTATTAAACTACTGTGTCCGGTCATTGCAAGGAGGCTCTCTGCGCCCCATGTGTGCCCTGTGCTCCCTCCAAATCCACTCCAGAGTTTAGAGAGGTGGGTGGGAACCCCAAACAGACTTCTGGGAAACTGTGGGATGAGAGGAAGTCCTGTTGTGCAAATGAAAATCCTTGCAATGAAGGGTGCTACATTGGGTACCACCCGCCATATTTTAGCTCCCAGGAAATCTCAAGGATAGTTATGGGGCTATCCAGTCCACATCATCATATGTGTAGACCTTTGTATTCTGAGCTGTTTGTTAGTGTACGTGCTGGAGATGTGTGTGAAAGCTGTCAGGGCTTTGTGGCTTATTTTCTGTATGCGGATAGCTTACTTATGAAAAATGATTAATTAGGGTTAGGAACTGAATCCTGGATTACAACAAGAATCCATAAGCTTCTTTTGTAATGCATTGTATTGCATTGCAATCCTTTAATCCATAATTAAAATTAACAATTGGATATGTTGGACATAAACCACAAATCAAAATTAAGCCACATTATCTGTATTGCTCTAAAGATTTGCTCTTGGGGCTTTTATGCTGAAAGAATTATATTATTACCCTTTTTTGCTGGTATAGTCACTATGGCTTTTTCTCTTGCTCCACATGGACTTGAGCTGCTGCTTTCTGGGGACGGCAGGAGGGGGAGGAGTTGTGAATGTGATCTTGTCACAGTGACAAGTACCCAATCTGACTTGACATGGCATGAAGGGGCAAGGGTAGCCAGTTCCTGCATTGCACTGCCCTCACTCTGGGTGGGGAGGAACAGAAATGCAGCTACTCTTGTGCTGCTGTCACCTTCTAACTAAAACGGGTAAAACTTCACAACTCTGTTTGAAGCCTTCCCTCAATGCTCCTTTCTTTAGTTGCCTGATAAGAGACTGCAGCTCTGAGGGCCTTGCCCTGCTGATTGCAAATCATGGATTCATCACATTTTCTTTAACCAAAATAACTGACTCCTTATTTGCTTTTAGGGACCCGGGTGGCGCTGTGGGTTAAACCACAGAGCCTAGGACTTGCCGATCAGAAGGTCGGCGGTTCGAATCCCCGCGACGGGGTGAGCTCCCTCTGCTTGGTCCCAGCTCCTGCCAACCTAGCAGTTTGA